ACGTAGGGTCTGGTGCTACCCCGCACGCCTTGTACGCAGCGCGAGAAGCAGCGAAGAACAGATCATACCGAATTTGATGTGCATTACGTTCGCGCCGATATCCCCGTTCGCACCCGGCTGACTATACAACATGTCATTGTTTGTGCGTTCAACCGCCTGCAGCATGCGTGCGTGATGGCCAGGCGATCTCGGCTTGTAGTCGGTCGACTCTGAGCAGCGCTAAGGAACAGGTGAAGCCAGCTGTCTAGGGGATGCGCCACATGGCAATACCAGATCGTTCTTTGTCCACCTCATCCTTGACCTTCTTGCTCTTGCCGCTCTCCACAGCCGCAGCGACAAGCAATGTCAAGGACTCCTTGATCTTCTCGCGCTTCGCGTCTGCATCCAACGGCACCTCCTCGTTTCCCTTTTCGTCCAAGGTATCGGTCTGAACGCGCGGTTCGGTGACCCTGTCGTAGTCGACACAAAGATCGAGGTATTCGAGAAGAACGCCGACAATGCCTTCGAAAGTCTTGCCTACTGCTGCATCGCCTTCCTGTGGTAGCTTGACCTTCCAAAGCTCTTCCAGCGTCAGAGTATCCCATGCGATGAGCGGTGCGCCTGGCTTGACGGGTACAACGATGGTCGGGCATCCATTCAGCAGTTGATAGTACATCACGCTCTCCCCGGGTCGTGCACTCGTCGTCCACAGCTTGCGGTGTGGCTTGAGACCGACGACGACGATGGCCATCCGACGAGGCGTGGGTGGTGCAGGTACACGGGCGAGCTGCGGCTCCGGCGACGGGGTGCGAGAGCGTGCGAAAACACTGCTGAGCTTGGGCAAGTCGGATAGGCTCGGTATGTTCTTGGGCAACGACAGGAAGTCGTGGCGGCCAGTCTTAGCTGTGTCGTTCTCAGAGGCGGTGGCATGGGCGTCCGACGCAATCTCCTCCTTTGGGGGTACGGCCAAGCAGAAGACGATGGCCGACGCGCTCTCCTTCAGTAGCGTGAGCCCTATCTCATAGTCACCTGTAGGAGATTAGCAGAGGAGCTACCCCAGACACGAAGGTCTTACCACTGAGAAAAGGGCCATGACAGAATATTACATCGGGCTTCATAGAGCGAGGGATGATGGGTCGTCTGCCGCTTGCGAAAAGATAGCTGGTGCACAATGTGTCAATATCTGCCAAAAGAAAGAGCATAGATTGCTTGTATTTACGGGTTGAACCATCCCTTCTCGGCCGCAAGATAATCCATGACAGTTGCGAAGAGATCTGGATCCCTTTGAGCCCGTCAGACATACTCCTCACACGTGCTACAGGGAGAGCGTACTTGTGTACACTGCTGCGGAAGAAGCCCAGCAGTGCATCAGCGACAGTGGCGTGCTTGTACTTCATGGTAATGAGAATCTCCTTGACGCCAGTGGTTTGAAGGACGTTGCTGTGACTGGTGATGAGCTTGATTGGCTTCTCGAACAGGAGATCGTTGCCTTCGAAGCGTGCAGTGAGTGTGTCGCGCGTACAAGAGCTGGGCAGTGACATACCGAATTCAGTCGCCAGCTTGAAGCCAGCATGAGCGCCAAGCTCAATGGCGATGGAGTCGCCGACCGTTGAAACGAACACATCTGCCAACGGCCCTACAGCAGGCGCTGCTATAGCCGCAGTGCCACCCTAAACGGGGTATCAGGACGGTGGATATAGCGGGCGGTGTATCGTAACGCACTGTAGCGGCGACGACTGATTGAGACGGTCGAGAAGTTGTTTCAGCAAGCAGAGCCTCTTCATTTCGGCCGCAGCGTACCTGTATGGACAACCAGATCCCGGAAGCGGATGCACGGCAGGAAGAACGGCGATGAATCTCCCCACGGGCTCAGGCAGACGACATTCTGGCCCATAGCGCGTAGCGATTCCAGACTTGAAGTGACGATGCGCCCGGTCATAGACTGTAGCCAATTAGTCTTCGCATTGAGGCGACGAAGTCAAGTTGACGCACCCCGACAAGCTTTCGTACAATCCACGGCGCTGTCTTCTCCTCCTCCGAGGAAATCGAATCGGGATCAATGACACTGAGTGCTGATACATTGCTAGATGCCATGATGTGAGACACAGAGCAAAGTGCAGGGTGAAGTCGAAGCGCTGAAGGGTTGGAGCTGTGATGGATGACGGCGTGTTCACATCTTTATCGCCCATCGTGCATCAAGGTTCGAATGTGCGAGAAAGGGCATATGAGATTTCGGTCAAAACGTCGTCGCACGTTGTAGAACCTGAGATATCTCTCGAAGTAAGAGGATAGGGAAAGGTGTGCATTGCGTTCATGCATGGCGGCAGGAGCCAAGGGCGACAACGGGCCGATTTGGACCAAGACAAGCCACGCAACGCCAAGCCTGTCTGCCGGGACAGTTCTACCGACGGCTTGGGAGGTTCGATACCTTGATATGACGGCGCATGTCAGTGCATGTCTGAGCCATGCGTACGTTCACTGGGAAGTGATACTGCTCTCGAGGTGGAGTACGATTCGACAGCTGACAGATGGACGTTGATCGTTCACAGGTGCCTTTCCTTTCTGTACCATCTCGCAGGATATTATGTTCACTCGAGAGAAAGAAGAGTACAATGTGTAGATGATGTATCAATCCTGGGCTCGTTGAGGCCCCAAAGCAACATGAAGAGCATGACGACAGATCCGGACAGCTACCTACCACCCGCCACCGACCTCGGCGCGCTCGGCGCGCCATCCGCCCCGGAGACGAGAGCGTTGAGACTCGTCTCCTCCACCACAAGGGAACGTTACAGATTCCTAGCTCCGGGTACCCTTCTACAAACCGGTGAGGCTGGCGGCGTTGAGGCCGATGGGTGCAACCCGTTCAGCGGGAGACCCAGAGAAAGTACGAAACCGCTTAGTAACGGTAGTGGTTGGCCTTGTAGGGACCGGCGACCGGGATGTCGAGGTAGCTCGACTGCTCGTTCGTGAGCTGGGTGAGCTTGACGTTGAGGCTGGCAAGGTGAGCGCGAGCGACCTCCTCGTCGAGCTCCTTCGGGAGCATGTGCACGCCGAGGGGGAACTTCTCGGGTGTAGTCCAGAGAGCGATCTGGGCGAGGACCTGGTTGGTGAACGAGCAGGACATGACAAACGACGGGTGGCCAGTCGCACAGCCGAGGTTGACCAGGCGACCCTCAGCGAGAAGGATGATGTGGCGACCAGAGGCCATGGTGTAGCGGTCGACCTGCGGCTTAACGTTGGAGGCGGACTTCGCGTTGGCCTTGAGCCAGGCAACATCGATCTCAACGTCGAAGTGACCGATGCTAAGATAAGGTTAGACACATTCGAGTCCTTCATATCCACGGGGTACTTACTTGCAGACAATGGCATCCTCAGGCATGACCTCGAAGTGCTTCGCGGTGATGATATCGCGGTTACCAGTCGTGGTGACGAAGACGTTGGAGCGCGGGGCGGCATCCTCCATGGTCGTGACCTCGTAGCCGGCCATCGCGGCCTGGAGGGCATTGATGGGGTCGATCTCAGTGATCAGCACACGCGCGCCGTAGGAGCGGAGCGACTCAGCACACTACAAACCAAGGTTAATGTATTACAACAGAAGATAATGGTGAATACACATACACCCTTGCCGACATCACCGAAACCAGCGACGACAGCGACCTTACCGGCGAGCATGACGTCCGTAGCACGCTTGATGCCGTCGACGAGCGACTCGCGGCAGCCATAGTAGTTGTCGAACTTCGACTTGGTGACCGAGTCGTTGACGTTGATGGCCGGGACCTTGAGCTTGCCGTCCCTGAAGGACTTGTAAAGGTGGTGAACACCAGTGGTGGTCTCCTCAGAAAGGCCGCGGATGTCCTTGAGGTACTGCGGGTACTTCTCGTGGACAAGAGTCGTAAGATCGCCACCGTCGTCGAGGATCATGTTGAGGGGCTTGCCATCCGGGAACGCGCAGAGGGTCTGCTCGATACACCAGAGGTACTCCTCCTCGGTCTCACCCTTCCAGGCATAGACGGGGACACCAGTCGCAGCGATAGCCGCGGCGGCGTGGTCCTGAGTGGAGAAAATGTTCTGAAGATAGATAAGATCAGTCACGCGTATTGGGTTTGACGAAGATTGATCGCTCACGCAGGACGACCAAGAGACCTGAGCACCGAGAGCAGTCAAGGTCTCGATGAGGACAGCGGTCTGGATGGTCCTAATGTATGCATGAGGGACTATACGATGCCATGGAATAATCGGTCTTACATATGCAGGCAGCCCGCGATACGCGCGCCCTTCAAGGGCTTGCTGGCGCCGTGCTGAAGATCGTTGTTAGACAATAACCCGTCCCATACAAAGTTGGCAACATACCTTGGCACGCATGTACATAAGACCGGGCATCTCGTTCTGCAAGACAACCATGAGGATCGGTCGATATTGCCAGCAGAGTCGCACAAACCTCAGCGATCTCGATCTCCTTGCGGCCGAAGGCGGCGAGCGAAACATCTGGTGGGCGTGAGCGTGAGAGCCAATTCTGCGACGCGAGATGAGCGTACCAGCGACCTTGAAAGACATCGTAAAGAAAGACTGGTGCAAGGAGGGGTGGAAGAGATGGAGGAGGGTGAAGAAAATGGCTCGATCTGCGCGTCCTGCCTTTATCCGCGAGACATTGCACACGTGGGCCGCGCGTGCGTTACCGGCGCGGTCGGCTCTTGCATTTAGGCGCGCGGTAACTTGTCTCTCCCCGTCTTGTTGTCTGCGGTGCAGGCCTATTATGAACTCCCCCAAAAGCCCCCCAAAAGACGAGGCGACCGCACAGACGACACGTAGATGTCGGATACTCGAGATCTTGCACTACACGTGCCCTGCAGAACCTGATGAATATGGCCGCCCGCGCTACAGCTGCTACCCCATACCGCGCATCTTCAACGTGTTTGTTTAGTCCTTATTGCCACTCCATCTATCAGACTCTCATCAGGCGCTCAGATGCGAGGGCATACCTGCCGTCGAGATTACCAAAGCGGTCAGCATCGATCCTGGTACAGGAGAGGTGACTATCCCTCCAGCAGCAGAGTGAGTATTTGTAACGACGCCCTGTCAGACGCATTGTTGGCTTGATCTCAACTGCTAGGAAACGTATACCGAAGGCCAAGCTCTGGCGGGACATACGTCAGTACGCTTCCGCTGGTGGGATTGCTGAGGTGACGGTTGCAGGATCGAGTACATCTTGAACTGACGATCTCGTGTCCACGGATGTATAGATTCACTACTCTATGCTTATAAGAACGGGACACCCAATCTTTTGGTGGCCTGCCTCTCATGACGCTCGTGGGAGTATCATTCGTCAAGGATGGATTTGAAGGGATACCGACAACCGTAATAAGGCCACCATCGAACCTACGGCCTAACGGGGCGTCACAGATCTCTTTCTTGTTTGATTCCGAGCCTAACACTCGGATTCGCTCCAAACAAACTGTCGCACGGCATCCCGGCTATGTTCGACGTGGGCACATGGTCAATCGAATGGCAAACTCTTTGCATGTCAATCTACTGCCCTTGTGCGCGCACATACAGTGGTATACCGATCCCTTCCCTATTCAACCTGTACAGGACTAGCGAAGTAGCCTCATTCTTATATTCTCAAAACGGACGCGAAGGCCAAGCGTGACTCTTATAAGTAATACGATGCCAGCACGGCAAGCAGCGGACCCCCTTCGCGCCTTCTGCAAGCAAAGCGACAAAACGCCATAGGTAATCATCAGTCTATCAGGGTCCACGCATGCTGATGGCATTGGCCAGCCATTTCGGCGAGAGTTGATACACAGGTACGGTAGGGCCTCCCAGTAATCATCTGAATCTCTTTGGATAGTCTATGATGGCGCTCCAAGCCTAGCCCTCCTTTCAGCTTCGACCCTTCCAAGAGATGTGGATCCGGTAGCTGATGCGGTGTAATTTGCCCTATGCAGGCTGTTTGAGTATTTCAAAGTTGTTGTCGAGTTTACTCGGCCATCTAGGCTCCAAGCCTCGTGGTGCAAGTCGCGTTTGAAGTAGCACAGCGTGAGATCGTTGTGATCCGTGTTTCGGTATCTCTACAGTACAGGTTCCAAATAACATGTCTTCGGAATGACAACGTGTCTTCTCCTGTTGGGTCAAATATCGATTGTGATCTATGAGGGCGTACAAAGAGTTCTGCCCATGAGCCAGGTCGGCGCCTATCGGCATCGGCCGGGAACCGGAACTGTAACCGTGATGCGGCGGGCGATGACGGCGGTGATCGATTTGTCCTTGAACAATGACCTTGATTGCAGGCACCGGTTGTAACTTGCTTCTTGCGAAACTATCAGTCATGCCTTGCGCACAGCAGCTCAGATGCTTAGATCACTCCTGCGTGATGTCCTCACGGCGACGTGGCTTGCCATCGACCGCCTTGACACTGGTTCGAAATCTTGTTTGGCAAGCTGAATCGTTTCCTGACGAACAAAGCTCACACACATGCCACTCAAAGCCCTTTTCGCGAGGCCAACACGGGATCGACTTTGAGCAAGTAGATCTGCATACCAAACAGGTTGAAAGCGGTGCGTGATCGACGCACGCGAGAAAGGAGGCCTTTTCTCGCTAGGAATGTTCTTGTTTTGTCAGGGCCCGGCCGGCATACCAGCCGATTCCACACTATCAGGACCTTTCACTAATATGAGCGTCGTCGAGCCTCGAGCCTATCGGGGTCAAAACAGGCGGGTAGGTCCGTTGAGGGCCGAGTACCTCTTTCCGTTTGACGAATGATGCGCAGTTTGCGCCTTGCAGCGCACATCTCTTAAACCATGACCGAGGAGCGCGGCACAGGTTCGACTCCGTCGCAACCTCACATCATCGCATAGACAGACCCCGTTCTGCAACTCGTTACGGGTATCCATTCATTCACTTCGCGCTTGACTTGCACCGCAAATCCTTGATGATGGACACCACGAACGAGTCCATAAACTGGAGGCAGAGATCAGCCTCCACCGAATCATCCACAGAGCCAGAGCGTCCACTCACAACTCACACTCAAACGCATCCGCAGTCCACGCTAAACTCCGCATCTGAGCGCGCTTCACTCGCTTCTACGCCAGACTCTCCCTACTCAACAACAGGCTCCTCGCCGAGTGCTTCTTCGCTGCAACCACCGTCTCGCCGCGCACCGAGTTCACCTCCCGCTGCATCTTCCTCTTCGAAACATCTCAAGACGCCCTACCCGATACCTTCCCGCGACGCACGATACGGACCTCCCGACAAACGTATCGAAAGTTCGAAAATGCCTTCTGCACCGGGCTACGGCGACTCATGGGCGAGGCACGACTCCCGTAAGTCCCATTTCCTGGCTCCTTAGCCTCGCTGCCCGCATTGAGCACTAAACGACGATCTGCATCGATATCCAGAGCAGCACGCGTACCCCATCACGAACCCGGGTGCTCAGGTGAGCAGGGCCGGTTGTGATCTGCTTCCGGCGGATATTGACGTCCGTTCGATATCTTCAGCCTTCTCAACCTACTGCAATGGGCAGGCGCGCATCGTACTTTAGCGCGAACGATGATGGTCGTCCACGCTCGTCGGGCTCGTCGCTCGCCTCTTCTAGTCTTCGCGGCGCGATGGGCGACATGACCATGTCTGGTCCTCATCCCGTCGCTTCCGGCTCGTCCTCGCCACCTAGTGATCCGCCTCAGCATCGATCGTCCGGCGCAGCGTACAATATGGCATCCGGAATGACACCTTGGACTCAGGCCGCGGCAGGCGCTGAGTACGCTGACCAGCAAACGCTATCATCAGCTGGTTACGAGCTGGCTACGCAACAAGATCTGACCTACGCTGGCATGCACTCCTCGCCTAATACGTCCCCGCACACGCCGTATCATCACCCAGACTATGTCTCCTATCACTCATCGGCGGCTCATGCTCAACAGCAGATACCCCTGCAAGCCGCCCAGCACGCACATGCCACGCCTCAGCTCGTACAGTCAACACCGCCGATGGCATATCAGCAGCAGCAATACCAGTACGCCTATTCGCAATCGCCTCCGCGATCAGGATCAAGCATGGCGGCTCCTACTACGCACTCGGCCTCGCAGATCTCAACATCACCGCTACAGTCCTCGCGGCCGCATACACAATCGAATCCTTCCAGCGAAGAGATGCGCGCCCTGCGCATGCGTATGCGCGAACTTGAGATGGCGAACGAGGCCGCGCAGAGAAGGATCCGCGAGCTAGAGGCGCAACTTGCAAACGCAAATACGGCCTCGCAGTCTTCCTCCGCGGCGTCCGGTTCCTCGCGTGCTTCAGCGCGCGCTCAATCTCGCGTCCCGCCAGGTGCGGGTCGGGATACTGAGATGGCCGTCGCGTCGACCTCGGCAGGACCGATCGGTTCGACCGGAGATTTCGCCGCGTCTTGGAAGGCGCGGTACGACGCGCGTGTTAAACTCTTCTGCTCACTCAATCGTGCGGGCAACGCGCTGTGCGCTTGGCACGACTCGCGACGCGAACGGCGCGCGTATCCACCGCGCATGGCACCGCCGGGCACACTGAACTGCGGGTGCACCTTCGACGAGGCGCTCTTTGAGGAGAGCTTGGCGCGGCACGGAGTGGGTAGCTACCATCCCGGTGAAAATGTGCGGATGGATCCTGCGCTGAGGAACCCTCTGCTGGGCCTGTTAGAAGAGCGATTCGGGTATCGCGACGGGGACTTCGAGCGGGACAGCCAATCGGGTGAATGGGTCGAGGGCGAGGGGCATGAAGTTTGGGAGACCAAGGCCGCGGCTGGTCAGGCCGCGGCGCGCAAGCGCTGAGCGGCGAACGGTATGCATCACGACTTTGCGGCACGACGATACGAATAGAACGAAGATGACCGTGACGAATGTTATGTGGAACGCGATGTTATACCTTTACTTACCCCGATAACCTATCTAACTCTCGACATTCCGACAGACTAGCACTTCACTCTTGTCCTTGCACCTGTACCCTATAGCCACGGACGCTGGCAATAATATATACTTGCCTCATACCCTATACGAATATAATGTTGAGATGAATGAATAGACAAGCTGCATCGGCGTGATTGCTGTGAGGCGTATGTCGCTCTTCCTGATCACAAAGGCTTATTGCAACGATGAAGACAGCACAAAGCGTACAATGTAGATCGGGCAGTCCGATCTTTTATTACCACCCTTTACGGATACACATCCTAGCCGAAGGTCCTTCACTCTGGGTGTCCGTCTGAGTCTGGACCGCCCTTCTCGAGAGCCTAACGGAAACAAGACGGTTACAGCTTGGCCTGGAACGCAGGACCGTCCTCAAAATAAACACTTACCCGCTTGTACGCGGGGCTAAAAAACGAATCTCAGTCGGTTATTAATTTAGAGACACTCATGGACGAACGCACCGATTATGCACTCGCTCGATCCATGCTTTGGTGTTGGGTCCAACCTCGTCAGGGAAGAAGCTCGCGAGGCCCTCAACGCCATAGCACATCACGAAGTCCTGTAGATGCCACTCGCCTCAGTACGGTAAGAGGTACACAATTCAGATCTGAACGTACAGCGGACGTGGGTCCTTCTCCGCCGGCGAACCAATCACCCTTCTTCGCAAGGTGGCCTTCGATCTTTGCGCGCGTGAGCCACAAGATAAGGTTGGGATGTGGCACAGCGTACGAGCTTAATGTGATTCCTCAGGCCCGGGTTGCAAAGTTGAGCGTCGAGCAGGCCAGTGACCATGCTGACGAGGGGTCGGATATAGAAAGGCACCTGTCCAGGTACAAGGCTATAGATGAACTTGTTCACCACGAGTGGCATGAGCGATCCTTCTGCATAGTGGGAGACTGCTTTGTATTGGCATGCGGGAACCTGCAAGCGAATCGAACAACGCACAGTACAAGTCGTCGACCTCGCCCGAAGCCGGAGGGCGGCACTTGCCGTTACCAAACTTGCGGATGATATACTCTGCAACAACCATTCAAAACTGTTACATTTCATGCTGTCTAGACGCACTCACCAATGATTGCGCCGCTCTCTGCAACGGTCACATCGCCGTGGGTGATAACAGGTGACTTCCCGAGCGGGTGGATGTCCCGGAGCTCCTTCGGTGCGCGCTTGTCGGCCCCGCGCTTGTAGAACTTGATCTCATACGGCACTTCCAGCTCTTCCTGTCGCAAACTCAGAGGCGAGTCCTTTCTGTGATTGCGGAGTTACGCACCAGAAGCCAGAGAATGCGCGCCGAGCGCGAGTGGTTGAGGTGGTGGACGATAAGAGGAGCTGTAAGCGCGTATCCAAGTCAGAATCACGATGAAGCGCCCAAGCCGGGGAAGACTCGCCGGCAGAGTTCGACATGGCGGTTTGTGTGTACCCTGCGCGGGCTGGATGGAGATGTTATATGCTCAGTCGGGGAGCTCGGGCAAAGTTGCCGGTGGACAGCCGGTACCGTCAGCTGCTTTCACCCTCGCTCGTGCTCCCTCCCAGCCCACCATGCGTTCCTCTGCTCAACCCTCACGGTTGGCGGTCAAGTTTCCGTGCGACTTTTCAACATGTCGTCAAGACCGTGTGCCCATTCCCTCGCAGTCGGGCGGTACGTGGGCGCCAAACATACATAGGAAGCGTGACGTCACGCGTCAAGTCGAGCCGAGCCGCCGGACCCGAAGCGAAACGCGTCCGTATTCCTTGCATTCAAACCGCCATCGTCTCGCCTTTCACTCTTCTCTCCTCTCAACTCCGCCCTCGGGTCAGCGATGGGCTCCTCCTTAGGGCACATACGCTGTGTACTTATACTCGCCTTGTCTTTTTGTTCACTCCCGGTCAACGCGTTTGGCCTATCGACGCTGAATGCGCTGACAACGCGCATCTTTTCGTCTGCTAATTCGGAGGTGGCGATCGCGGACACCGGTGCCCGAGCTAGCTTCGAGGAGTTTGAAGTTCTCAAGAGTCAAGGTCTTCTAACCAAGAGCGACATCGGTACGTCTATAAGTACTTAGCGTACTAGCACGAATGAATATCGATCAGCTCTACTCGACAAGTACTCCTACCGTTCTGGGTGCTTTGGACTTGCAGTCTCCCGATGCGATAAGCACGTGCTTGATGAGCAAGCTCAGCAACGCGGTATGTCAATCAATACCTCATCTAGGGCCCGGTGGCTGAAGCAAGCTTCGCGTACTCCAGCAGCTGTGTCGATGGCGGTATGCGAGATACAAAGCGCGTCGGACAACATTGTACCCGCGGAGTGCACATACTTTGCAACCGAAAACGCCTATGATGGCGTTCCACACGCTAACTGCCTCAAGTACGGTATCACCAAATGATGCGTCTGCTTCAAGTCTGATCAATCCCTACACAGCGCCCTAGCAAGGACGGACAGATACTGGACGAGTTATTCGGGTTACCACCGCGAGATCAGTACGTCCTCGATCATATCCAGTGTCACTCAAGCTGATTTGTCCTTCGCAGCTCAGCTCTGTGACGCCTACCGTCGTAGTCACATCACCGGTGTGTACGCTGAGTCCTATCCACGTCATGCGTCGCTGATCCGATTTCATCAATGAAGAGCTCTCACTCGATATGCTTCAGTTCGCAATGCGTCAGCAAGAGGCGGCTCTTAAGCACGCCAACGCGAGTAATGCTGCTTGGCGTGAGGAACAGCTTGACCTTATGGCGAACCTAAGCGCCGCTCAGCTCCAGGCCCTAGCCGATGTATGCACGTCTTCCCCTTCCCGCTTCCTTCATTACTGAGTGCATCATATCTTCACAGACACAAGCTTCGGCCCAAGCTTCGACTGAACTCGTTCAACGGCGTGCGGAAGACGAGATCGCTCGTGCAGTCACAGAGCACGAGACACGTCTCGCTGATGCAGCACAGGCGGTCATCGCCCAAGTCGTGTCTCGCTTGTCTGAGCTCCCTGACGAGCTTTTGTCGGAAGTAACGGCGCGCCTCGGATCTGAGATCCTGTCCCCGCTGTTCGCTCGTACAGAGATTCTTGGAGACCGCTTGGGAGAGCTGGACGGGCAACTATCCTCTGCGGCTGAGGTTTGTGGATCATCGTTTCTACATATGCTGGAGCTGACTTTGACGTAGACGGGCCAATCACTCGCGACCGTAGCAGAATCGAACCTCGCCCTCACTCGCTCAACGCATACCGAGCATCTCGCACTCGCGCAGCTGACCTCAGATCTGGCCACCTCCCTGCGAACAGGTATCGCCGACTTCAACGAGAGCATGACGCAAGCTGCTGCGCAGGTCGCACACGAGTTGAATGTCAGCGTCGCGCGAACGCTGGAGGAAGCCAGAGAGGAGCTCAAGTTTGGATTGGGAGACATACTTCGAGGAACTGCTCTACATCTCTTGGGCAGCGCCTACGGTGTCGCACAACCTGTTGCCGTGCGTATTGCATACCGGCTTGTACACTCGTGTCTGATACCGCTATACAGGTTGCATTGTTCCTGCTCATCTCGCCTATCCTCTTCGCGGCGTTTGTCCGTCCTACCATCCGGATGTTGACGTTCCTTCCTCGTGTACTCCAGCAGGTCCTAGCGTCGCCCAGGAGGGTGTCACCGGCACCTCCCGTCTCCAAGTCTACCCGCCACGTGCGTTTCGAGCTTCCGCCTGCTCGCATGCCTGTAGCTTCTTCGCGATCTCCGGCGGCGTACAGGAGGGCGGTGTCGTTGCCGCCCGGAGTCTAGGCATCGCCGCCACCGGTCGCCTGCGGGCCTGTATCGCTCGCTTTCCCTCGCTTTCGTATGTTTTGCAAGCTTCGCACATTGCTATCTTCTTTGCAGTTGTTGTCTGTTCTGTACCCGCTATTCCCGTTGATCACTTCCGTACACACTCGCCTTGATCCCTCGCATAACTTTCTGGTCGTAGCATGTATCATAATCCTGTAGCCTCCATCGCAACTCCTACACTCCAGTATGTATTCGAGTACCATGCCCACCGCGGACTCGGACTGTATTACATTCGGCAGCCGTGAACGAGACGTGATGTTGAGTAGATGACGCGCCCTTGTACATTATGACATTCGTATTCTGTGTAGTGATACAGTATTGCAAGGCTCAGTTCGTTGTCCAAGAACTATTGTTGACAGCTTCAACCAAGCGCCTCGGGTGCGTCATCGGTCCCCACGACCGTCCCAAGCGTATCGGCGACCTTCGCCACGCCAGTCGCTTCGGGCTCTTTGCCCAAGAGCGCGTCGACAACTCGGCTTCCGCCTGTCGACTCCGCCTGAGCGGCGAGCGCACTGAGAGAGGCTGGCGGAACGTGCTCGCGAACAACCTCCGCAAGCGCAGTTGCGAGATCTGAGTCCTGGCCCATACCGAGCACAGACGCGAGCCCGGCGATGTGCGATTCTACGCCGACGGCCATGTCCGTGTTGTCCACCTTGGCACTCGCGCTCGCCGAGGGTGTGGATGCCGAGGAGCCGCCGCCCCAGGATAGTATCCACAAGGCTGGGTGCAGGGCGCCGGAATTGCTGCCGCGCGCGAGTCCAAGCGCGTCTTGTGCCGCCGCATAGCTGTAGACGGCCAAGACGACAATGAGACCGGCGCCGAGGAGGTTCATGAAGGTGGCAAAGGAGACATTGTAGAAGGGTGGGTGCACGTCCGCGATGATGCCGCGTTCTTCGCGTGGCTTCTTGGGAGGTAGGTGTTCGCCGTGCTTTGAGGGCGAGGGGCTTCGGCCGTTGGGTTTGCTCATTCTTCCGGCTACTACGTGAGTTAGCATATGTGACTTGACCGCTAGAGCATAAAATGCATACTTGACGGGACTATTGAGGGCTCTGAGAGTATGTGAGGTGTAATGGAGGTTGAGTTCAAGTTGAAGGAGGTCGGTTTTGTGTGTCGAGAGGGCTGTGGCGCCAGTCATGACGTCACAACGCGTCGTGTTCAGTTCCTTGGTGCGCGCGTCAACTTGCCTCGAACCTCCACCCATCACACCTTGCTTGTCACTGTCATACCCCCTTCCCCCGATGCATCTATACATGAAATACAGCCCGTGTAGCGTGGGAATCTACAAGATTCTGAAGCCTATAAGATTGTCCGCAGTCAAACACTAAAATGTACAAATGGAGCCCATCTCGCAAAGCTGAGCTCGCTAACCTTCTCCCTCAAGACACGCACCGCCTCGTGCAGCGCGTACACCGCTCCGGTCTGCCTCTTCGCGACGACTCCCGCCTTGCGCATTTCCAGCAGCTTCTTGTAATATGCCGCTACACTCTCGGGTGCATCCACGTCTTGTATCGTCCACATGGTCGCAACGACTCCCATAAATCCAACTGCTAGCATCCCAGCCGCGAGGTGAGCAGACTCTTCGGGGTTGTAGCTGTCGCCTGTCGCCGTCTAGCACGCCGAGAGAAAGGCGAGCTCGGCATCGTCGAATGTGATGCGCATGAGGTCCCCGAGCGATAGTGGGCCGCCGTACAAGTGGAATGCACTTCGCGTGGCATCACCGACACGCTGAGAGCCGTGACAGGCGAGGTGAATCCAAGGATAGCCCTTCATGACCTCGCGGACGGAATCCAGAGTAGCCTGTTCATGACTCAAGATTTTCCCACCTACCCGTGACTCGCTCGACAGGTAATGTCACGTCCCTGTTCACGGTTGCCGGCAGTCTTGATAAATAGGGCGTAGCAGGTTGCGTTACTGCTCGGCGCCACTTGCCGTTTAGCAGCATTCTCTACACAAAGCTGAAGAGCTGAGATGGATGATGTGTACTAGGAAACAAAATGGTCGAACGCGCATGGACCGCTAGGGTCGTCATATATGCCTGTAGCATGAAAAGGTTGCTGTATGAGTGGTCAGGTGCGGCACCAAGTGATATGGAGCTGATGGCGGTCAGGACTCTGCAAAGTATCTTAGTGTCCAGAGGATGACTTCAATGAAATAAGCATACATGCACGGTGGATGAGATGGAGTTGGAGACGTGATTGACCGCAATAAGCGAGCGAGCACGGTGACCGCAGCTCGAGTACCAGAGACTACTGGAAGGTAGTGGACCGAGACAGCAGGCGTCTGCAATGTGTTCTCATACCCAGGACAGAGTAATCTCGTGGGAGTCCGTTTGGCGCCCAGTCAAGGCGCTTAACGGCACAATTGAATAGGTGCATATATTGCATCGCGCAAGTATCTCCATATGCAAAATAATCCCACACATGGGGCAGATACTGTACTCTACCGAGTCCTGGCGCATAATTATTTGACGCCGGCACTCTTCTTCACAGCTGCCAGAATTGCGTCAACTTCCTTGATATGCTTGTCGAGCAACTTCTGGAACTGTAGACAGCGTCAGACTTGTTGGTCGGTTTCGGAAATGTACGGTACGTACCTCCTCCATCTCGATTGAATGCCTCTCAAATTTGCCCTTCTTGACGCCTGCTTGATGCGCCTTTCGCAGCTGCTGCCTCGTCTCCTCGGCCTGCTTCACAGCAGATGTGGCAACAGCTTTCCGCGCGTCGACGGTCGGCTTGGGTATCGGGATCCGAATGGTCCGTTCATCCACGCGTTGTGGAGTGATACCAGGTAGTTGTGCCTCGTATAGTGCGTCTTCCACCGGTTTCAAGTTCTACTAACGCATAGGTTTAATCAATGCCCGCATCTATCCTCTTGAGAGGGGCCACTCACTTCGGGCTCGAACACGGTGACGACCAACACGCTCCCGTCCCTGACTCCCACAGTAGCGACTTCTTCAATCTTCGCCCTGTACCCCTCCATATCCGGCAACACGATCCTCACAGGATCCAACAACGCCGGCGTAACCCTCCCAGCAGCCCGCGCCTCTCCCTGCGCCGTCTCGCGCTTGAACCACGCGACGGCCGCGCTCATCTTCTCGTCCGCCTTGTCATACTCTGCCGCCGCCGCCGGGTCTTGGATTTTCTGTTGAGAGTGCGAGACGAGGGCGTCGGTCCGGATGGAGTTCTTCTTGCCGCGCGGGGGCAGCTCGACGTCTTTCACGTCCTTGGCGTCTTTGGTGTCGCGCGGGTCCTTCGAGTTGTTTTTATGTTTCTTGGCATAGTTTCGGAGGGAAAGAAGAGGTGCGCGGGGGGTAGAGGTGGAGGCGCGCAAGAGAGTGGGACGCGCTGTGCGCGCGAGGAGGAGGGACATGACGGTTGCCAGCGAACGAGACGCGTCGAGCGCGCGGCGCGAACTGGCGCCGCGTGAGCGCGTTCGAGGGACCCATATGCGTACACAAGTGCAATATCTCCTTACCCTTACGGTTCTGGAGTCTTTCTTGAGGGCAATGCACGCAAACCGTGATAGACATTTAGCGATGCCGAGGCAGGTAGACGGGCTGGAGAGTACAGTAGCTGTGAGCGCGTCGGAGAGAAGTCGCTTCTAGATTAGATGTCTTGATCTTATCTTATCATGGGCCCGCGTCGGAGACGCGTCTTGACTTTTTGCTCCCATCACCTCCTCGCATTACTATGGGACGCGGCGGAAAAGTACGTCCTCTCTACATACTTCATAAAAACATGTCACTGATAGACCTGATAGCGCGGACGCGGACGAGGCCGCGGTGCACGGTCGAACGGGCCGTCGCGGCCGGACGACGGGCAAGCGAACCGGACAGACGTCCTGGGCGCGCACGAGATGCACAACAAGCGCTTCGAATCCTACTACACCCGCCAAAACCTCGTATCTACTCCCGAAGAATGGAGCAAGCTACTTGAAGCAGCACGTGCGCCATTGCCCACGACGTTCCGGATCGCCGCAGGTCGCGAGTGAGTCCGAATCATATATTTGCGGTGGATGAGGGTAGAGTTGAACTCAAGGCAAGGACGGCACAGGTTCTCAAGGACGCGATCGAGAAGACGTATGTCCCTCATCTGCAGGGCGTCGTGTTTGAAGGCGAAGCCGTCGACCCGCCCACGCAGCTCTCCTGGTACGCTCTTTAGTATTCAATCTTCACATCACGTTTTCTGACTCCCCGTGCAGGTATCCCGGCGGCCTGGGCTGGCAGTTCAACGTCGCCAAAAAGGTTCTTCGGAGGTCACCCGAGTTCAAGCGCTTCCACAGCTTCCTCGTCTACGAGACCGAGGTCGGGAATATAACGCGCCAAGAGGCCGTGTCGATGTTGCCCCCTCTGTTCTTGGACGTGCAGCCTCATCACAAGGTCATGGACATGTGCGCCGCTCCGGGATCAAAGGTAGGGCCTATATTCTTTCTATACTATGTAGCGCTAACATGATACTCTTGCAGACATCGCAGCTACTCGAGTTCCTGCACGCGTCGGCCGAGCCGGGCGCACAGAGCATCCCTCCCGGTCTACTGGTCGCGAACGACAGCGACTACAAGCGCGCCCAGCTGCTCATCCACCAGTCCGCGCGCCTACCCTCGCCCGCGTTCCTCGTGACGAACATGGACGCGTCCAACTACCCCACCCTCTCCCTCGGCACATCCGCCGCCGCATCTACCTCTACTGCGACCAAAAAGCCGAAGATGAAGGGTCTTCCCGCGAACACTACACCTCTCCTGTTCGACCGCATCCTCTGCGATGTACCGTGTTCCGGCGACGGTACACTGAGGAAGAACGTGGGTATATGGAAGACGTGGAACCCGATGGACGGCAATGGCTTGCATGGGCTGCAGACGAGGATATTGACGCGTGCGATGCGGATGCTGGAACAGGGCGGACGGGTCGTGTATTCGACGTGCTCGTTGAACCCGGTCGAGAACGAGGCTGTCATCGCAGAGGCGTTGAAGACTGTAAAGGGTACGCCCTGCCCTGTGTTTTTCGAGAACATCGGTGCTGATTGTATGTGGTACAGGCTTCGAGCTCTTAGACGTCTCCTCCCACCTCCCTACCCTCCACCGCGCGTCCGGCCTCCACACATGGGTACCCGCAACAGACAAGCACCTAACCTTCCACGAAACCTACGCCTCCTACATCGACTCTCTCCCCGAAGACAAACGTTCAACGGCGAAGATGATGAAGAGCCACTGGCCGCCGAGTTCTGAAGAGGTCGAGAGCCTGCATCTGGAGAGGTGTATGCGGGTGTACCCGCATTTGCAGGACACAGGAGGCTTCTTCGTCGCCGTTCTTGAGAGGAAAGCGAGGGTCAGGAAGGAGGGCGCCGCGAAGGAGGGCAAGAGGGCTGCTGAGGATGATGGTGCTGGTGCCGAGCCGGCGGGCAAGAAGCCGAGGCTGGACGCGGACACGACCGGTGCAGATGCGCCGGCTGCTACTGCCGCTCCCGCAGGCGAGGAAGCTGTCGCTGCGGAAGGTGTAGCGGTTGAGGAGGATGTAGCGGATGACAAGGAGAAAGAGCCGACGCCGCCCGCTCTGGATGGTAGCTTCAAGGAAATGCCATATACGTATCTCGCGCCAGACGAGCCACTTGTTGACGCAGCTATGTACGTCTGCCTTCCTTTTGTCCAGCCCATCTACAGCACTGACGCATCGCACAGCACCGCCGCACACCTCCTCCCCACCTTCCCCCGGAACAACCTCCTCACGCGCAACCCCGGCGGCGAACCCGCGCGCTCCCTCTACCTCACCAACGACCTCGTCCGCCGCGTAGTCGACAACAACGACTTTGCGCGCATACGGCTCATGGCAGCGGGCACGCGAATCTTCACCAGGCAAGAGGGCGGCTTCGGTGCGAAGGGCGAGAAAGCGCTGGCCAGGGAAGCCGCCGACGGAGAAAAGGAGAAGGAGGCGCTGAAGAAGGGCGAGCGGCCGTCGGTGTGGAGGTTGCTGAGCGAGGGATTGCCGGCCGTGCTGCCCTTCGCTGATCCTGCGGCTATCATCAAGGCGGATGCGGACGCGCTGAGGGTGCTCATTGCGGAGTATTATCCGCTTTTGTCGTCGTTTGCGCCGGAGTACAAGGCGGTGCTCGAGAGCAAAGGTACGCCGCTCTGTATCATGTTTCTGTAACACTTACTGACATAGCGTTCATGCAGCTCTCGGCAGCCATGTCTCCCGCTTTCACATCCCGCCCTCATCCACACACGACCGCGAGCTCCAGCTCTGCCTCCCCATCTGGCGCAGCGCGAACAGCGCGAGCCTCATGATCGACAAGAAGGCCAAGAGCGCGCTGAGCTTGAGGGTGTTTGGCGAGGACGTGAGCGTCGCGGGCAGGGAGGCCGCACAGAAGCTGAAGGAGGCGAGGGAGAAGAAGGAGGCGGATAGTGCCAGCGCGGTTGCGTCTGGTGCGGCGACGCCGGCTGTGGAGGGCGAGGCGGCGGAGGTGGGCGCGGTTATGTCTGCTGTGGCGGAGGGCGCGGCTGTTGGGCAGGATGTTGAGATGAAAGAGTAGAGCGCTTGGGCAGCAAAAATGTATACTGCGTGTAGTATTGTACAGTACTAGTGTTCAGTGTAGAATGTGGTGAATATCCTGCTAGTCCGCATGTGCTCGGGCACTTTTAACTGAGCCGACCTGAAGAGTACAGTAGGCGAACCCCAGGTTAGGGTCGCGGGACGGCCCGACCTTCCGATGGCGGCATCACCCACCCGCGAGTCGGGCTTTGCGTCTTGCTTTGCCCCATCATCATCGTCTGGCTGCGGTAGACTCAATTACCACGACTTAAGAAGAGACACAGATGCAATCGGAGTTTAGACTCGTGCAAGACAGCGCTACCCTGCCTGACGATCCGCGTGAGTTGGGCGACTACTTTTGGAAATGCTACGAGGCATCCGGGGATGCAGGCTACCTTAACCGCGCCATCCAAGCGACGCAGGATGCAGTCATCCGTGACAACTCTCAAGAACCTTCATTAATGCTTCAGCTCGGCCATCGTCTGCGTGCGCGCTATAGACTCCAAAAGGACGCGCAGGATCTTGACAGAGCGATCTCGATGTTACAGTCTGCAGTTACACTGACATCTGACGATAGTCCGGATCTGCCAACACGCTCCGATACTCTGGGTGCCGCCCTACTCGAGCGTTATGGACTCGAAAGCGCGCTGGGCGACGTGGACGACGCTGTTGTCGCCTGTGGGCGTGCAGTGGAACTTTGTCCTGAGGACGACCCAAATGAAGCAAGTTATCTTGGGAACTACGGATATGCCCTCGAGAAGCGCTTCGGATGGACAAACGAGTTGGAAGACATTGAAGTTTGCATCTCCGCGTATGCCCGTGCAGTGGATCTCACGCCTCACGACCACCCGGACCTCTTACCACGACTGTCCGACCTTGGCAATGCGACACTCACCCGCTTCGAGCGCCTTGGGGACATTGAAGATGTCGAGGCTGCCATATCTGCTCACGGACGCGTAGTCGGGATGACAAGTGACGATCAGCCAATCAAGCCCGCGCGACTAAACAACCTTGGGACCTCGCTACTCGCTCGGTTTCGGACGACATCAGAAACAAAGGACATCGATGAGGCCATCTCGGCACACCGTCACGCAGTAGACCTCACGCCAGATACTAATCCGAGCAAACACCTCCGATTGGTCAATCTTGGGAACGCGATGCTCGTTCGCTTCATGTCCTTCGGCAACCTTGAGGACATCCGGACGGCCATGACGGTTCAAAGGCAAGCACTTGATCTTGCGCCGAACGACCGCATAAGGAAGCCCTTCCTCATGGATAGCCTTGCGAGTTCTCTGTCGCTTCATTTCGAGCACACAGGCGATCTTACCAGTCTTGAATCATCCATCGCTACCCATCGTAGCGCGATTGAGCTCGCACCCGACGGCCATCCTCAGAAGGCGACGTGGTTTGGAAATCTGGGGAACTCGCTCCTCCTTAGTTTCGAGCAAACGGAGAAGCTCACCGAGCTAGAGGCGGCCATCTCAGCCCATCGCCGCGCACTCGGCCTCACGCCCGACGACCATCCTAAGAAGGCGCACTGGTCCGGGAACCTGGCAAACTCGCTGAAGGTCCGCTTCGAGCACCAAGGCGACGTCGCGGACATCAACGAAGCCATCTCGATTCTTCGCGCTGCCCTTGAGCTTTCATCCGACAATCACGTGGCGAACAGGACACGCTTACTCCTGAACTTGGGGAACGCTTTGCTCGCGCGATCTGAGCGTAGCGGAGATATCGAAGACGTTGAGGATGCGTTGTCCGCGCTTCGCCGTGCGCTTGAGCAAGCACCGGAGAGCTATGCTGATCGATCGTTGTTGCTTCGGAGTCTTGGAAACGCCTTGCAGGCTCGTTTTGAACGAGTCCGAGAGCTCGAGGACATCGATGCAGCTGTAGAAGCGCACGCCGAAGCCGTCACACTCACATCCGACGGCCACTATAGTAAAGCGTATCAACTCAACAACCTCGGCAACTCTTTGCTTTCTCGCCATCGTCAGTCAGGGCAATCGAAGGATGTAGAGGATGCTATCTCAGCACATCGTCGCGCCGTAGAGCTCACGCGTGAGGGTCACAATAGCAAACCTGCGCTACTGAGGGCTCTCGGCGGTTCATTGGTAGCGCGTTTCGAGCGCAGCGGTAAACTGGAAGACATCGAGGCGGCCATCATCGCGCTCCGTCATGCTGTCGAGATCACCTCTGATGATCACCCCGACAAGCGCCTTCAACTCAACGACTACGGTAGTGCTCTATTCTACCGAGCGGAACACTTCCATGAGCTCGAAGACATTGAAACTGCAGCATCCGCGCTTCGTCAAGCCATCGGGCTGACGCCCGATCATCATCCCTTGAAACCAAGCCAATACGGCAACCTTGGTGCACTGTTGCACAGCCGATACAAACAGGTTGGCGATCTCGCAGACTTGGACGCTTCCATATTAGCACACCGCCGTGCAGTAGAACTTGTGCCCAGAGATGATCCTAACCTTGCCTCGTGTTTGAGCGGTCTTGGTCAAGCGCTACTTGAGCGTTTCGAGTCGGCAAAGGATGACGTTGATCTCGAGGACGCCATTGCGGCACATCGACAGGCGGTCGATCTTACCCCCGAAGGCCACCCATGGAAGCCAGCGCGGCTCAATAACTTGGGCGCATCCTTGCATGTCCGCTACGCTGCCTTTGGGAAGCTAGAAGACCTCGAGGATGCCGTCGACACACAGCGGCGTGCGATACAGCTCTCATCCGACGTCGATCCGAGCAAGCCGGGGCACTATGCAAACCTCGGCGAGATGCAATATAAGCTGTTCTTGCATAGGCAGACACAGGCGGACTTTGATGCCACCGTCTGTTCCTTCTCATCGGCCGTGGCCCAGGTTCTTGGCCCTCCATCCGTCCGACTGTACTGCGCCGCAAAGAGCATCACGTTGCTTTCCGAAACACCAGAGTTCAGCTCGACACATGACATATTGGCGGCACATTCGCGCCTTATCAACATCATACCCGAGGTTGTTTGGCTTGGCGATGGTTTAGACCGACGTCTAGAGACGACTGCTTTGCTGGGAGACTCAGTGAGCGATTCCGTGAGCGTTGCCATTGCTTCGCAGAAGCTGGAGCAAGCTGTGGAGTGGCTGGAGACAGGCAGGGCGTTGATCTGGGCTCAGATATTGTCCCTTCGCACTCCCCTTGACGAGCTCGAAGAAACCCGTCCTGGGCTCGCTCAATCGTTGCGCATCGCCCAGAAGCAGCTGTTAGATCCAGATCACGCATCTTTTGCCCCCGACAAAGGGGTTTCCGCGGGTGCACTCGCAGAGCATCGTCGCCGTCTACTTATTGAATACGAAAATATGCTTTCCGAAGTTCGGCACTGTGTAGGATTCGAGAACTTCTTACGTCCAAGGACTCAGAATCCGGTATCTTCCTTACCACAGTCCTTCGACGGGAGGGTCGTATTCATCAACGTGGATGACAGCCGCTGCGATGCCCTAGTGCTTGGCCGAGCAGAAGCTATCAAAACCATCGCCCTTCCTAACCTTTCCAAGGAGCGCGCAAGAAAGCTGCGTTCCTGGTGGATCGAGGCATTGCGCGAGAACAACGCGCATGTACGCGCCATCGGACAAAAGTCACATGGCCGCGACAAGTCTACGCACCTTGCCCGCATCCTCGGGTTTTTGTGGGAATGGATCGTGCATCCTGTCTTGCAGAGTATCGGACTCGTAAGCACACTGCTATGAGTGAATCCACTTTAGGCACCTCTGACATATCTACCCAGACTCAAGGACCAATCGGAGCGCCCTTGCCGCGGATCACTTGGTGCCCGACGGGGCCCCTCACGCAGCTTCCTCTCCATGCCGCCGGTGACTATAATGAATCGGACGGTCCTCGCGTCTTCGATTATGTCGTATCGTCATATACATCCTCTCTCGGCGCACTCTTGCGCTGCAGTGAAGGCCTTGCGATGCAACAGACCGATCCCACTGTGCTCATCGTAACGCAGCCGGCGACACCGGGACAGTCTCCTCTGCCGGGAACTGTAGAGGAGGGAAGACACCTTCTACGGCTTCTGAACGAGTCTCATCTCGATGGGAAGGCTTTGCAAGATACAGAAGCCACCATGAGTGCCGTCAGTGAAGTCATATCCCGTTACACATGGGTACATCTCGCGTGCCACGGCTCGCAGCACCCAAGCAATGCGACGCAAAGCTCCTTCCACCTCTACGATGGACCACTTTCGCTGTCGGATCTCATACGGGTGACGGCGGACAAAGCCGAGTTAGCTTTCCTATCGGCATGCCAGACCGCTACAGGGGACGAAAACAACCCAGAGGAGTCCGTTCATCTTGCGGCGGGCATGATCGCAGCGGGCTTCAAGGGCGTCGTTGCGACGATGTGGTCCATCGGTGACGCAGAGGCGCCCGTGGTAGTGGAGGCATACTATAAGAAGCTTCTCGATTTGCGGGGTACAGGGACACTTGGGCGGGCTCAGACGGGCGCGGCGTATGCGCTTCACGAGGCGATGAGGGTCTTGAGAGAGGAAGTTGGGGAGAATAATTTCATAAAATGGGCGCCATTCGTGCATTTTGGGGTATGATTGAGCGTATGTAGAAATAACGTCATACAGCCGCGCAGACGCCGTACTTCATCGCTTGAATTGAAACGAGGGGTGTTTGACATGAAAGTTGAATCGTGATAACAATGTGTCTTGGATGAGTACTGGCACGTTATGGCATCCCCCTCACGTCAACAACCCTAGAAGGGAATAGGTACTGATCGCGTTATCGAGAGTGGTACCGAGTTCGTCGAATGCGCTCTGCATCGGCACCTGTACACCCTGCGTGACATGATATGAGAGCGCTCTGTATTGCATACGAAGATCAACGCTTACTTGAGTTTTGCTGATCATGGAGTTCTCAAAGGCGGTTGTGGCTGTCTTGAGGGCTAGCAGATCCGCCTCGATGAGAAGTGCGATTGGCGCCAGGAGTACGTGCAAGAGGTTGAAACCGTTCTGCTGGTCGATGAGGTTCTGCAGTACCGCTTCGAGGGCCGGTATGATCTGGTAGATGTTGCACAGTACGGTGACGCTGTCGACGATGCCGAATGTATCATCGCTGTTCGTATTGGTGTTGGCCTGCGAGACGCCCGATGTCAAAGTTTTGATGCCCCCGTCCATAGTCTACCAAGAAGCTCAAAGTCAGTTATGGCCTCACGATGAGAGATAGTTGGGACATTTGCCAGGGCCTTCGTGATCGACATGCTCTGGTTGAAGTTGTTGATCGCCGTGTTGAGCGCATCTGTCTGCGAGGCGATGGTCGCCAAGTCCGCTTTGAGCGACGTGAGATCGCGTTTGACAGGCGTGACGGCGGACACCGCGAGAACGAGAGCAAAGCCAAGGAGACAGGACGGGAGCCTCATGACGGATGGTGCCGGGTGCAACTGAGTGAGCCTCCTCGACGATGAGGTCTGTTGAGGGGTTGGTGAACGAGCGCGTCGACTTCAACGTTCACATTCCATCTTACTTATATCTTGTGATGTCTCCTGGTCCCGAATGTCCCTGGACTCGAGATAGCCCGTTGTCGATGATCACAAGGGATATCAGCTAGACTGTGGGCGGCAGTCCTGTTCCTGTACGATCCACCGACACGGCAAGCATCGGGAATGGCTCTTGATCCTTAAGCCTATGGCTCCCACTATCTGTACAAAGTTCATGAGCTTCATTATGATATCCTGCGTTAGAACACAGACCTGACGTCCACGAGTGTTCCGGAGCTAGAGCCCAGAGCCATCGCGGTGCGACTTCCGCGGCCATAAGACTGCTGTATCGTTCGAACATGAGAGTGGAGATGAGTGAGCAGGACGCATATGCTCTGAGGGAAGGGCCGAAGTTGCAGCGGGTCCTCCCAAAGAGTTCATACAACAGTAGCAGTACGCCGCCCGGTGTTGACGGAGTTCACTCTCGGCATCGTATTTGGTAAACAGAAGTGTGATTATCTGCCACATTATCGCCGCGCCCGCCGGGTCAACCCTTGACTTGAGAACGAAATGTCTTCCGCAAAGCAGATTCACATAGCGTTCTTTCACAGAACTCCGGGGATCGACGGGACGGGGCGAAGGCCACTCTGAGGTGATGATCTTGGCAATGAGAGCGACATGAACGAGGACGAGGACGAAGGCTGTAAGGATCGCACAGCGCGCGGTCTGACGCCATAATATACTGTGTCGCGCGGAATTGACCTGGTGTCTGTTAGAAGTTTAGATTGTTTCAAGCAGGAAGGCTGGGGTAGAACGTACTTGAAGCTTCCCGTTGACATGTATTCCTTACGCCATTCCACTTTCGATCATATCGGTGTCACCGTCCCCGACTGCTTCTCTGTACGTGCTCGCGATGGGGTCTGGCAGGGTCTGGCCCGTCATTGTGGGTCACGGGGCGCCCCGGTCAGCGACTAGTGACTGTTCTTGGACGACTCAAGCTGTCCGGTGCTCAGACAGTCGCGCATTATGCATTCCTTGTAGGATGGTGGTTCAAGATAGTGTTTATTCAGGAGCGGCAGGGAGCGGCAGATTCGTCGCGCAGGTGCGCGTCGCAAGTGAGGTGAGCGCAGCAGTCAAGACTCAAGAAGCGCGACCTTGGCCTGTTTTGTGTCCTGCACTCATGCCGTTGCCAACCAGACCTTGCGCGCTGACATATACACTACTGCCACACTCACACGAGCGGTCGCGCTGTATCGAAGTGCATCGATACGAACTCGCCGAACTTAGCTCGGTCATTTGAGATCCATAAGGTTTTCAATATATAAGACACATGTATAACCGTCACAAATATTCAAATTAAGTTGGGTCAAGGACAGCATCGCGGCGGGCTCTCCCCAGAGACCGGTGTACCAAAGTATGTGAAGCTCGCTCAAGGAAACGTCTGAGTCGCGGTAATGCACTAGGCGAAGGCGTTGAGGGTGGGGGTGACGACGTTGCTGATCGAGTCGAGGGTTTCGTCTAGCGACAGTGTGCTACTCTATTCCTATATCAGACGCGCCGCTGGCAACTCTCAATGAACTCAAGTCATGCGTACCTTGGCAATCTTAGCTGACAGGGCGTTTCCCAATCCAGTAAAGGCGCTTTGCAGTTGCGAAAGAGAGCCCTCCGTGGTGGCGATAGACGGCACAAGGGGTGATGCATTGAAGTTACTACGTTGCGACTGAAGACTCGTGAGAGCGGTGTCAAGGTGTGACGCGAGCGCAGTAGTGTTCGAAACGACGTTGGCACTCTGGGCTTTGGTGAAAGTTGCGCTCGAAGTTACGCTATCAGTGGCCGCAGCGACGGTCCCCACCAGACTGGCCAAATCACTTGTGATGGTCTGAAAGTCGACGCTCAAGATTAGCTTCTGCTTGACCGCCAGAGGAATTTGCACTTACGAGAACGGTGTTCAGCGATGGGGACGACTTGAAGACCGCGATAGCGCTATTGAGAGCGTCTGCCTGGTCGCTGATCGCCATGATCGCCGTCTGCACTGGTTTGATGCCGCGTTCGACGGGAGAGGCGAGCGCGACAAATGCGAGCGCGAGAGCAATGACGCTGGTTGCGAACTTCATAGTGGTCGAGGGTAAGGGTGAATTGCGATGAGCCGTATGATGAGCGTCCAGAGACCGACTGAGATGTCTGGGGTCTTCACGAGTCCATGAGAGCGCCTTTTATATGTTGCAGTATGGTCCGAAGTGTATAAGACGCGGTCCAGCCTCTTGACTAGCGAGACTCGCGGTTGCGTATGCTGATGGCACAATCCCAGTGACACGTCGACTTCGCCAATGAATGTGAGAGAAAAGCTTCTGCCCAGCATATCAGCTTTGGTCAGGGTGATCGCCGAGTGAGAGGCCACTTCGAACGCACCGTGGCGCGATTGATGACCAGCACTATTGCGCCTAAGGAACACATGTTGAGCAAAACAGGTTCTGGAGGATGTGAATGTTACCATGTCTAGATCAAGCGGACTGTGCGTTCATTCTCGCAGATGCCGGGGCGGTATTGATGATACACGAGGAGACGTGAGAACGTGTCGTGGCAAGGCTGATGTCCTTGGCATATGTGTATAACATGCGTAACGCTGACAGAGCGGAGTTCCCCCAGGCTTCTCATCGGGTAGAAGCACATCTTCCATAGCCAGTCAAGGTCAACAAAGCCAATTGAAGTGCGGTTACCGTTTGAAGGGTCATAGTGGTCCTTGTTCGGCGGCACAGAGTAAATGTCGGTGGACCTCGGTCGTTGTGAAAGCGCTGCGATACCAACACCGCTGATGTGAATCTACCAAACTCCTCGCAGAGCTGTATTGTGCCTTATGTAGCTGTGTGATGTGCGTTCTGACGTCGCAGCTTGACATGTGCTTGTTCACGACCGGCGATGCGTTGTCGTTACCCTACACCTGCATCCGCTGATCTGAATTGAGTTGTACAAATCGTCGAGCTTGCCAATATAGAGTTAGGATCAATGTTATCTAGGGAGTAAGGAACTGGGAGCGTGCATATGTGCAGACTTGCGACAGGACGACTTGGAGATTTGCGAATTGGGGTCGCCGGTGTACTAGTGTACTGGGTCAGATTAGTCAGAAACCGCCGAGAAGAGAGCAGGCGCACCTCACAGCTGCGTCGAATGTTAAGTAACCATTCACATGCCCTTATTGAGCACTACCAAGTGCCATCCTTCACAGAGCATTCGCGTATGTCTGCCTAGGTGACCACTGCGCGCGTGCTACTGTCTCCAAGTCCGTACGCCCCTAGACAAGGCTCGCTAAAGTATGCAGCTTGCCGTTTCTGCAGATGCGCATCGTGCTTGGAGAAGCGTTTATGGAGGGTTAGATGTCATGATGTCTAGCGCTTGCTGCATATTGTTCTACGCGCTTGAACACGGTCTGCGCGTCGTTCGGCTGTACCCAGAAGACGGAAGTATGGCTCGCGTCGCGTCGCATTATAAAGGCGGCTGAAGCTGTTCAAATGACGCCTGAAACTTTGTGGTAGATACCACGTCACAAGGTGGTGGTGGTACGAGTGATGCTGGGCGTGCCGTGGCTTGTCACGCGAGGAGCGGCCGGCCGCGCGGCTCCGGCGGGCCGGGCAGTGCTCCCTGAGTATTTATTGTTGTTTGGGTGGCTTCAGCCTCGGTGTTTAGTAGGCCCTTGGTGCTTAGTAAGGACATGAGGAAAGCTTTCTACGCAATTCAGACCTGGATATGTATACCAACCACCAATGCCCAAGGCGGCGTCTTTCTGCATAACGTTTATGGCCAGATCATATACATGATATCTAAGAACCCGTGATCACGGAGGCCCAATATTAATACGCACGGCGGCCAAGAGGTTGAGATCGATAGCACCACTATCCCTTCACAAACCGAGGTCCAGTCCAAAGGCGTTGAGCGCGGCGGTGATGGGATTGTTGATTGAGTCGAAGTCAATGGCCAGCGCGCCCGGCTGTCCAATATGATCATCAGTTATGTGGCCCTTGAATGTATCATCTGCACTTGCCGGCGAGGTTATGCTTGAGAGGGCATCCTGAAAGGGAACCATGACCGCCTGAAGACCGCCTAGCTCTGTTCCGGTGGTGATAACGAAAGGCGAGACGAGAAGCGAGTCAAACTCGGGGCGAGCTGCTTGAAGAGGCGTAAAGGCAGCATCCATATGCGATGCTAGCGCCGTAACGTCTGAAACGATGATGTCGCTGTCCGCCGTATTGAGCTTCGCGCTGGCGAGCACTACAGGGGTAGCTGCGGTGACGGCGCCGGTCAATGCCGTCAGAGCAACTGTAAGTGGCTGATCGAGGTAACATCAGTAAATCCATGCGAGGCAAAGGAAATGAAATTGACACTTACTACAACAGTGAGCAACGACGGAGACCCGCTAAATGAGCTCACTGCGCTCCCGAGTGCGTCGGCTGCATTGCTAACGACGTTGATAACCGTTTCTATAGTCGAAACGTCACGCCGGACGGGAGCAGCAGATGTTGTAACAGTGAGAGCAAGGAAGGTAAAGCTAACAGCGAACTTCATCTTGAAGGGAAATAGAGAAGGAGACGTATGGCCAACTACAAAAGACTAGAGGAGTAGCCTAGGGCATGAGGGAGATTATCAGCCGTCTTTATATATCAGTGAAGATAGACTAAAGAACGACAAACGTCGTCTTCGGCAAAACTTGCCGTACAATGGTGACGTGTCCCCGTCTTCGACGCTGTCAGACAGTGTATGGGCGTCCCGCCCTTTCCTAGTTGTGATGCCATGAGCAGCGGAAAAGAAAGTCGACGTTACAACATACTTAGTCGTGATTGATCTGCTGGTCCGACAGCGGCAAGCCATATTCATTCAGCGCATCGTGGGAGATAGAGGCCTAGGTCGTGTCAGAACCCTCCTCATAGTCGACCACCGGCGTCAACTTCATTCTAAGCCGGGTCTCGCAGTTCTGCGTACAGGTATGGCGGTATGGCTCTAACAACGCGCAAATAGAACCGCTGCACACACAGAGTCTCCATGTTGCTTTGTCCAAGCGTGAATTCCGAGGCGAAGAGGAGCTGGCATGCGAGAGCGCCCAGTCGACAAATTCACGACATACCAGAACAACGCTCTCAGCCGCACAAGGCTCCAGGTCTCAGCCGGCCGGATGCCCGGACGCCAGTGTGACGATGGTCGAGTTTTGCGTGGCATTGAGTCCAACGATCGCCAGTGGCAGCCTGGTGATTGTCGTATGAATATATGCAGATGCCATTGCTACTTGCTGGAACCCTTCAAGAAAGCACTATCGTGCCGTGCCGGCTGCAGAGCAACGCCGCTTCAGGCGAGTGCCGCTGACAGGATTGGCCGCGGGATGACGCTTACAATGTGCGACCGAGATACCGACTCAGGATATTGGTATAGTAGCCGCGCAAGGCCAGAACGTCTGTCGCATGTTGTGATTTCGCGGCGCTGGTAGCTGTTGTTCTCGCGTCACTGGGTGCTGTCAAGATAGGGCATGGAATCCAAGCGCATCCAGAAAGTCGGACTTGAAGCGCACATACGTGTGGACTCAGGGCTCGTGGCTCAACGGAAGTTCGAGGATTGACGGGAACAGGATGGGGCAGGTGGTTGTGACATAGGATCTTAAATAACGGGAAGCATGCCCGCTGCATGCGCCATTCAGGTCCAGGGTGTTTGAATGCTCTAGAGTACTTTCTGATACAGTGTATGAGCATGACGGGCTTCGATGACGAGAAAGGAGACGCACCAGTCAAGCCTTTACTCGCGCAACTATTTTGCCTTGAGCTTGGACGAGGCATATCCCGTCTCGGACACGCTCCTAGACTTCAAGATCACTATCGTGAGGATTACCGGACTCCTGGTAGCCAATTGTGAACGTTAGAGGCTCGGAGACAACCGCGAGAGCCGCAAGTTGACTGAGTGAGCCATCTCCCAGCGCCTGACACACACGAGCACACGAAGGGCGCATTAGATTCCCAAGTACGTTTGTAGGGTATGTGCGTGTGCACTATCATACGAATATTACAAATTGTGTGGGGTCACGATAGTATGGCCGGAGTCCGGACGGTATGATGATGGTGGTTAGAGACATGTCTCGTTGAAGCAGCCCGATCACAGTAGCGTCAGTTTGCACTCTCGCACCTACCTCCATGTAAACCCTCGGGCGGATTGATTTACAAACCGCTTGTTCAGTCCTCTCATACCATCTCTCACCTGCTCGTATCCATCTCTTTGAGTCTCGAGCGGTTGCATAGTACGAGGGACGCGGGTGAGATCGGTGATCGTTACATGCCAGGGTCCAAGGTCGCACCCAGATAGCATGTCCCTGGTTTTGCGCCAATGATGTCCAAGCCGTACGCTGGTCGTTTGGGCCGCAGGTTGTCGTCTTCGAGCTGCTTGAGACCATTCGTCGCGCGGCGCGTCATCGATTTATGATGAGACGTGTTCCAACTTTTCCCGGACAATTGAAGCCTACGCTTCACTCTGTCGTATCACCTTTCGCTGTGCTTACTTCCTCTGCTACACTCTACTTATCGCTGCTCCTAGCAGTGTGCTCCAGCGATCAATAATGGACAGCAAATGGTGCCGTGTTCGGATCATGCGCCAGATATTGCTGTGGGTTTTGCTCGCTGATGCCTATCTGTCCTCACAGCACACGCTCAAACCGTATCAAGCGCATCTACGCTCTGTCTCACACGACTACCGCGCACCACGCACTGCTTCAAAGTTGCTTCAAAGTTCAAGAGCTTGATTTGATCGTGCACTCGCACGGTCGGCCCTGGGACACTTCTGATGGGAGAGGCCTGTGGGATCGCCCAATATCTGTTTTGGGACAATACACCGTGAACACGCCGAGAATTGTAAGCCTTCAAGTCCCTGAACCTGTTTAGCACTACTGACAAGAATGCATCAGACCAACAGCTGCTCGGTAGAGCCCGGGTAGAAGAAACGGGATTCGCAAATTCAAGCAGTTTCATCGCCACTCGATCTCGGCCACCGCGCGCCCGAAACTAGCAACTGCGGGCCTCCTTGCCTGTAGATCCTCCATGATGACACTCCGTGATCCATCGTTTCGGCGGTCCTGACTGTCTGGAGCCTGCGTGCATCGCGACAAGTGCCGGTGTATAAGACCGACGTGGAACGCCTCTCGCTTCGTGTCCACCTTTCCCTGCTTTCGCCGCCCAAGCGAGATGTTCTCGAACGGCCCGGAGTACGAGGCACGGTGCGTACAGATGCGACTTTGCGGGCTCTTTGAACTGATGCTCCTCGTAGCCTGCGCAAGCCATTCACACCGCCGACAGCTACGCTCAAAGACTTGCACTCGGCTGTCCCGAAGGAGCTCTTGCGGAAACGGCCCTTACTAGCTATATCTTACGTTGTACGAGACGTAACGCTTTCCATAGCACTATGCGCGTTTGCGACGCGCATTCCTACAATATCTCAACACACTGTAGCATGGCTGGGATTCGACTGGCTGAGACCTCTCATGAAGACGGCCTTGTGGGGGACTTATTGGTGGTTTCAAGGGCTGCTATGGGCGGGGATCTTTTGCCTAGGTGTGTAACCAATCTATGAATGACATACTCAATTCTGAACGCGCATGCAGGACACGACGTAAGCTTGCAATCGAGGCCCGCGACATCCACTCATAGAGCTATAGGCAGGACACGGCTCTCTTTTCCGCTCTACCTCCGTGAACAATACGGTCGGTTTCATCCTCCATAGCGTGCGTGCCTTTTTCTTGAGTTGTGCTGGCGTGCTGAACGGTCTACAGTTTCTCCTGATCCCTTACTTCGCCTGGCGCTCTACTCATCATGCGCATCATGTATGTCCTCAAAACAGACATCTCGTATCAGCTAAGTCATTCATGCACGTACGCAGAAAGCTACAGGCTCCATTGAACGCGACGAGAACTACGTGCCGTACCATCGGGAGGACTTCAACCTGCCATCGAAGAAGGAAGCGCGCTGGTCGGATTATGCCGAGGTGTTCGAGGAGACGCCATTTTTCACGCTTCTACGCGTGCTTATCATGCAGGGGTTGTGCGTACCACTTGAGCTCTCGATGGGGCAACTATATGCTGATGATTTGATAGCGGCTGGTGGCTGTATCTGTCCCAGAATACGCTCGGGGCGAAGCTGTACCCGCCTGGGACGAACCACTTCGACCCACGGAGTCCGCTCTTCAAGGACCATGAACGTGAGTGGCGATGGTCGACCCAATGCGAAGTACGCTAAAGTCCACCTCCAGGTGTCTCTATCTTCTGGTCCGATGTTGGCATCGCATGCATGGCACTTCTACTCGTATGCGTGGGAAGGGAGTATGGATGGACAACTATTTTGGCGTATTATGGTGTACCGTACCTGGTACGTGCTTTGCCTCGGTCTCCACGGGCACGATCTAACGGTCAGCCGCAGTTGACGAACCATTGGATTGTCATGTTCACGTACCTGCACCACAGTGACCCGACGATCGTATGCCACTTTGTTCTTACTCATCTTGCTCAACTCTGACCTGTGAACGAATAGGCCCATTACTACGCGTCCGAATGGACCTTCTTGCGAGGAGCTGCCGCAACAGTGGACAGACCGTTACTTGGATGGATGGGGCGCTTCTTCCTGCATAACGTCCGTCGCCTCCAAGTATGCTTAGCCGGCAACGTAACTGACTTTGCCATGCAGATTTC